ATGGCCAGCAACAGGTAAATGCCCATCCTGTTCGCTGTTGTGCCCGTGTTATTTCTGCTTAGCCTGTACCTTGGAAAAACCGTGTGTTCTCCCCACAACAATACTGCCCGAAGCCACGTTTGCGAGTGAGAAATCTCGGATCAGGTCATCACCGACCAGTTTGGCTACGGAACATGTGACAAAACCCCACACCACGACACGCTTCCCCAGCCAGAGGTGAACCAGCACGGTACAGAGGACTATCGTTTTACAGCTGGCCTTACATTTTCTCATGAATATTAATGGCAGTTTTATTCTTGACTTCAAAGAGAGCGTGACGGAGCCCGACATACCGTAAAGGTGAGCAAGTTCAGCAAGTGAGAAAACAATTTCATCACCAGGCAGACAACTGGTTTGGCTGAACAGACAACTCGCAAACTTCTGTCACACAGAGATGTCACAGCGAAACCAAGGACACTGCAGCAATGACCATACAAAAGTGTCAAAGAAATAAAATTAAATACAAGAAGAACAGAAGGGGAATGATGCTAACTGACCATATCCTCTAAGGAGCAGAAGATGATGGAGAAGCAGTAAAAAGTACGATCAAAAGGTAGAACTTCAGTTTCCTTTGAGACCAGGTTCTGATCTACGGTCACTGTAACACAACTGGAATTGCAGCATGACCCACGAGCACTGCGAGGAAAGTTAAATGTGTTTGTCTCCTTCAGTAACGTAACCAATCTAATACTCTCTCACTACGGTATGAGTAAAATTTTGAGAGGAACATTTTTCTCTGCTTGATGCAGACATACCCTGTATACGTACACTTGTAACGTCAGTAATACTAAAGTCCATCCCAACCAGACCCAGTACACACACAGACACACAAAATTTCATCTTTAAAACTATGAAAATGCAGAGCTTGCTTAAAACTTCATTTATTTGTAATGTAAGCCAAAGGATCTTAACACAGAATGCACTGCTAGGCCTCCTTGGGAGCTATAAACAATTGGTGCACTTGCCAAATAAAAATACATGAGCAATTAAATGACAGAGAAAAGGTACAGAATTTTTTACACATACACTCTTGTTGTGTACACACACACACACACACAGAGCAGTTTCCAGTTTCTACCCGTAAGCGAAAGGATAGCAAAGCTACCTAAGCCCACTTCGTAATACGCAGGCAAACAGCCTAGAAAAACTCTCACGTTATAGAAATGACGCAACCAACTGCTTCCCACTCCAGCAGTTCTTTGTTGTACCATGCACACTGGTAGCCTGATGCTGTCTTATACAGCTTTGGGCTAAAAGAAGCAGGTCTTCACACAAAGCCCCTATTTGTCTAGCTTTGGCAGGTTCAAGTATAACATAGCAAATTTAAAGCCTGAATATTTGACGCTGATACAGCAAGGGCTTGGTTACATGCTTAACTTTATGCATCGCATATAAGCCTACTGACTACACAGGCGAAATTCGGAGTATCCAACGTTGGCTGGGTTATGCTCAGATAACCCGGGCACAGTTCTCTGGGCTGTACCCTGCTCTTTCTTTCTCGGCGTGAAAGGTGATTCTCTTCCCTTGTTAGCACTACGTTCCTTGTACTGGAGTTTCTATTCATTTAAAGAAAACTATTTTGGCTTCCCCACTATGTTATGATGACACTGCTCAAGGTGTTACACTAGCAAAAGTGTTTTGGTTACATTATACCATTGGAAATAACTAAAATACATGAGAGGAAGGGGAAATGAGGATATAAAGTCTATATAAGTATTTACACATCCCATTATTAAAATAAATGAAGGCTAATTAACAAGGAATTAGCCACAAGTATGAAAAACGAAATAAATGAAAACTCGTTTCTAAATAAGATTAATATTAGAATCACCTACTGTTACAACCAAAATATAACATGGTTTTGGAAGCTGTAATAAAATATAAATTAATAATTCTAACAACAACAAAAAAAATCAGTTACAGAATTGTTTTAAAACACTATGGAGAGCTCAAATTATAGCTTTTTTCCCCTCAGAAAAAGCACAGCAGGAGGGAACCTCCCTCGTTCTTCCTGCCAAGCTGATATTACATTAACAAAAGTCTTCACGTTAAAGCATATACTGCATGTATTTTAATAGCTGTTGAGAACATAACACAGTTTTCTCAACCTAATGTAGCACCTCCTGTAAACATAAAAAGCACTGTTTTAATCTCTAATAATTTTATATGCAATAATGCCTTTGTTTTGTAATGAATTCCATTCCTTCATTTTAATGTGCCCGTAGTTGCAGAGTTCTGCTGAATCACGGCTTACACAATCACAGCCTCCTCAACTCCAGAGGCTCAGCACCAGAGTTGCAACTGTCTGGGCAACAAGATCCCTGCTCGGCAACTTTCTGTGGCTTGTAGACACTACAGAAATAAGGAATTCAGACTGCGCAGCATGCGTCTCATCTATCCTCATCTGACCTACAGTCAGCTTTACCCTGACATTTGAAAATAAAGATCAAAAAGCAAGCTATTTTTTCTTTTTACAAGTTCTCAGTGTTACTAGCCTAAAAGGTTTACCTGTCATATGTTAGGCTTACATTATCTTAAATTTTTTAAACAGCACGCTGAATTTTTCTTTTCATTGCCTACTGGTTCTGAAGTCATCAAGATTCATTTGGGTTACATTTTCAAACTTCTCTCTGTAGCTAGAAATATACTGTTCCTTTTAAGTGGCAAGTAAAACTTCAGTTAAAATAGAAAATACTAAGGCAGGCTGCAAGAGACAGTAGCATCTATACTTCAGTTTAAATGCCTTTTGGGGTCCCACTAGGAAATTCCAGGCTTTCAATCAAAGTGGAGGCAGAGCTGCCTCTGTCCTTCGCCTGTCAATTTACACTTACGTGGCAACGATGGCAAGATAACGGGTCTGAGTCAGAAACATGCACAAACTGTTGATCAGAATTTGCAGCACACAGAGGTGCAAACAACAGACGTTCCTGTTTGTCTGTCGTGCCTGCAAGGACTAGCAGAGACCAGCAGTGAAACTGCTAGGACCAAGACCGTATGCCCCTTATTCCAAGCCTCTGCCTTAACACCTCCTCTGCTCGGATGACTCTGTAGCGATGCTGTTTGCCATGTTGTGCCAGTCACCCAGCACGCTTGCGGATGTGTCACAGACATTTTCACACTCTAGTGTTTGGAAAAAGTTTGTCGGCACTTCATCCTGCGTACAGCCTGTTTATCTGGCAGCCTGAGGCACCAGCAAGGCCTGTATTTTCCCCCCTCTCGTAAGCTGCCACACAAGGAGAGAGGAACGTGCAAGCTAAAAGGACTTTCTCTTGGAGACTGTTTTCTTATGAAACTCTGCACCAGTCCTGACTGGATAGGGTAGAAACCCCCAAAACTGCAATACTTGAGAAATCCCAAACTTAGGAAACATATCCTTTCCCTCATCCACACCCCCAAATATTTATCTCTAATAAATGTATGTTACATGTACAAGATATACAGTCTGTATCAGTTTTCCTTTCATTAGAGAAACGCTTCACACATCTCGCCCTCCTCACCCCTCTCCTGCTTTGCCTCTTAGATATAAAAGTGAATAGTTCCAAGTAATGACTAATTTTTTTTGCTGAACAGACTTGAAAAGTAAGATCATTTGCTCTGCTCTTTTCTGCAAGCGCTCACCTACACACACTCCTCAGAGCTTACACTTAGCAAATGCCCTCTGGGATTCTGCTCTTGTGTCACTGCTCTTTAAGAGCATCCTCACTTTCAATTCCCCACTGACTTGTCCCAAGCACCTTTCAGCTACTGGGAGTTTTAATAAGCTCTTGTCTGTGCGTATCCTGAGACGACCATCATACCTTCAAAATCTAAACTAAATGAAGTATTTCAGCATCAAAGCCATCTTGTATCCTCTTTCACTTTGAGGCTATTCATTATGATTCCACCATAAAACTCTCTACTTCCAGGAATGAAAGTGCTGGGCAGAAATACATTGCTGTGCCCCAGGCTTCTGGTGAAGCAGAGGCGGTGGATGGGGCAGGTCAGAGGCAGCGTTCTCAGCCTCCCAACACAGGGAGGGAAGAACGGTTCTCGGCACACCATTGTTACTGTGCAGTAAACACCAATTAAAGAGGATTAATTAAAGAGGAAAACAGATCAATAGTACCTGATTTTGTACTCTTCATTCACAATATTCTTGGACTGTGTCTAATGTAATTAGTATTACCAAGTTAGGGAATACATTCTTAAAACTGTAAGAGATGGGGGGGAAAACAGGACTGCACTCCACGCAAGAAAGGATTCTCCTTCTGTTCTCCATTAGCTGTGCAGGTGCCACAGCTTCCACTGCATCCCCCTTCCATTTCTTGCACACAGTTTTCCTCTTCATGCTGTAATTATTTTTCTTCTAATTCCTTCATGAGAAGCCCTCACAAAAATACTGAAGAGCAGAGAGGAAAAATGACAATCACTAGACAAAAAGTGCTGTAAAATAGAAAGTAAACAGGCACTTCTATTCCCCTAACCGTTTTAAGTAAGGGAAATGTTAGGTGCTACATGTGAAGAATAGCAGGTAATATACCTTCAGACAGAAGTGCAATTTTAAGCAAATGCTTTCCCTTTACTATAGTAAATTTTAATTCATCCTATCACAAGAGTGATCTTTTCTGTAATTCAGCATTCTCATTACAGTCAAGAATATTTGCCCTATCTTTTCAAGAGTTATATTCCCTATATGTTACATAGCTCATACCTTAACATATTCTTTGTTAAGCCTAAGGTCAGTACAAGCTTTTGCACAACTTCAAAAAAAGCTGCAGTGCATACAACTGTTCTTAAACAACTAACCAAATTAAACTCATCAAATAAAAGTGAGAATCATCAACTCTCTCTCTTGCAACCAAGAGAAACACAGGAAGAGAACAAAAGGCCTAAGAAAGGACAGTTTAGGTAGACTTCTAGGATTTCTTCTGGTTCTGTAATTTCAAGGGTGGTTAGGAAATCGGATAAGGAAAATATTTTAAGTCTGAGTTTCAGTAAAAGAGGTCACATTCTTCATTTATATGCTTCATGAGGTGGAAGTGCAAGAATGAAAAGCTCTGCGTAAAAATATAGCTACATTTAGTATCTGTGGTTGGCCCCCAAGTAGACGATGACACGATTTTCATACACCTTCTTCATGGTTTTCTCAATTTGCTTCAAAAATACTTGCGGGATTCTCCCACATAAAGTGTGCACTGTATCCAGAAACTTAGACTGCAGAGGGTAGTACAAAGACTGGAAGAGATTGTCTTCAAATGGAAACTAAAAAAAAAAAAAAAAAGAATTATTAGTTTTCACTAGTTACAAAATGGCATTGCAGAAGTTCTGTCAGATAAAACCTTATATAGGTAGGCACTGACTTGTCCCTCATCTTCCCAGTGTATCACCAAAGCCTATCAACTTCAAACACTGCTCTGCTTGAGGGCACTCGCTTTCAGAAAAGTTTGCCTGGTCGTATTACCTGAATAGCCAGCTTTCCAGAAACTCTATTTCTAGAGCCTGTATTTAAAGGAGGTTTACTAACATAGGGGTACTGTAGCAGAACAGATATTTTAGAGAGCGGAGGTGTACACGTACAATGTTCAGTGTGGAAATACGGACCTGTGTCTGTATGCAAGCTTCTGCCTTCCACGTGCCCAGAGGCGCTAGGTGCTCAGGGAGGACAAGCTTTCATTGGGTGTTTATGGACCAGAGCTGCAGTACCAGCAGGAAAAACTCCATTCACATACTTTTTTTCCCACCTCCAGGTTTACAGAAAAGCAATTTATCATCCGTTTTGATTAGAAGCTTACTATAATATGGAGGACCATTTAAATAATCTCAAATCCATGCATGCCGTAAGACAGGAGAGGCCAAAGCAACCTGTTATTTTGTGTCTGATAGGTATACACAAAGCACAACTATGCTCAGCCTGACCTGCCAGAACAGCAATCCGAGTGACCCGGTTAAAGCAATAATCTCCATTGAAATAAAAGGACTGCCTCTATCGAGATAGACGACTTACATCACGTATCACTTCATAGAGAGCCTTGAATGTAGGCTGTTTGTCATCATGGTAGACACCTCTATTTCCGTGCAGAATAGAGACACCTTCTTCTTCTGCACCTTTACAGTTGCTTCCATACATACAGTGATCAGGTCGGTAGTTCCACTGACATGGAAACACATAAAGACACTCTGCCAATGTTGGTCAAGGGGTATGGAGGCAGGGTGGGGAAAAAAAAAAAAAAAGAAAAGACCGGCACATCAAACAAGAGTTACAACAAATTAAACAATGCTTCCGTGAAAAAGCTGGGACTGATGATCAGTAAAATTTCAGTTGCTTCTTTTGCAAATACCCCAAACAGTAGCTAGACACAGAAGCTTCCTTTCCTCAGGGGATGACTATACCTATCTCAGCACTGTTAGACCTGAATTAACAGAAAGAGAGGGCAACACAAAGACTGGGTGCAAACACAAACCAAGACAGCATTCTACAAAGCTAAAAGTGACACACTCAAACTCAGAGAGTATGCACCAGATGGCACTATCCAGGGTCCTCTGCCCCAGTAAGAAGTTTCCGGAGTTACAGAAATTATTAGGGAAGCACACGCAGCAGCGAGGGTTATGCAAAATCCTGAATCCTGCTGGAGACAGCATGGGAAAGCTTGCAAAGTACATCCGATGTTTGCTGCTGAAGCTTTCACTGAGGCTATGACAATTTGTTATACTGAGATACAGCAGAGCATAAGAGGTAGTGTTATTTTATCCGCAGTCCTCCTAAGAGTTGTCATCCATTAATTTCACAGGTCTAGGTTATATAAAGATGAGCCTAATTTCTCAAAAGGTCTTATAATCTCTTTTCTACTGATTTTTTTTTTAAACTTTCTCCATGCACCCACAGTATTTGCAACATGCTTAGAGTAAATCATGCCAGTCCCAGTGACCTTTTTGTTTCAGAAAGGGAGAATGAATCAGTGCACTATGCCAGCAGGTCATGTCAGAAGTACCGAACACTGAATTCTTCACTTGGCCTCTCTTAGCTTTCCAGGAAGTCTGCAGCTGGTCATGTGTGGTTCTTGAAGAGGTAGGAGAAACAGTTTCTGACACATTTCTTCCCTTAAGGCCTCACTAGCAGGAGATAAAGGGTAGGTTTTAAGTGGTTTCCATTCAGTCTGACCTATCACCCATTCAGAATTGCTCCCTGGTGTTGCTGAAAGGGCAGGAAGAGCAGTAACACCCGATCCAAACCCTGTTACAGTTAATGGGGATCCTTTTGGCAACCCTGAACAGATGTTTGCAAGTACAGCTCATCAGCAGGTCACTACAGGCAGAGGATGTCATCAGGTGCTTATTAGCTTTTGTAGATGTCACTTGAGTATTCTTGATTGTCTCCTCTCCATGACACTTTTGTGCATTTTTTGCAGTCACAGCTGGACTCAAACTCTAGCTGCTCGGCGAGCCTTCAGATCCATTAATCATCAGAACAGCCTCCGGAGATGGGAAAAAGGGTGCATCTTTTCAGGCCCCAGGTAACACAGTTCTGTGTCCTTTTAAGCCAATGCACTGCATGTATAAAAAGCCACTTGCAGCAGCCTTGACCTATTCCTTCCAAGGCTAGCCTCAGCAATCCAGCAGTTTAAAACCTCGGCAAAGTCTAGTTTTCTGTTTTAATTGTATCCAGTTCTTTTGTTTTCTTTTCTTGTGCAGTCTGATGTTACGTAATTCATAAAAAAATGAAGGAAAATACAAGGAAAAGAGAGACTATGGTGCAGAAAAGTCTCAACATGTGGGTTTGACAGAGAACACTCTCATCACAAAATTAAAATATTTTTGCAATCTTTGGGTTTTTCCTCCACTCTTAACAGTTCAAGTTCAAGTCCACAACTAACCTGGCTTCATCTTTTTCTTACTGCAGTAGACCCTATTACCATAACATGCATTTCTTTTTGGAAATTAATTTACGATTTCATACTGCAGATCTCTTCCACTTTATTTTTTCCCTAGGATTGAGGGTAATACATGGTGTACCAGGACTGATGTTTGACATCTGTCTGCTGTAAACAGATGTTATCTTATTGCTTTGCTTTTGCTCTCTCCTTTTATTTGCCTGGATCTGGGTATATCCAATTACCTACCCTATGACTCCTCAGAGAAAAAGAGAAGGGAACAGAATAAATAAAAATAAATCCAAACATATTCTGTTCTTAAGACCACTTGAGGGAATACAAGGTCACACAGGAAACAAGGAAAAGCAAATAAGAACAGATACTCAGCATATTCAGAAGCATGAAATAAGGTTCTCGGCTTCTTTGGGAAGCACGTACCATGCTACAATTTTGAAATCCTTGCATTTCTCCTATGTTACTGTTTTTGGAAGTGCCTGAAGTAATTTCTGTGTGATCAGTGCAAAATACTTACAAGGGGATGAATTTCCAGAAACTACCTCAGCACTTGTGGAAAAAGTCACACCCTTTTAAAATAAGGATGCGTAAACTCGCCAGTTCCTTGGAAATACACACTCATGTGAGTAAGACTCCAATTCAAGAGGAAATGAAGCACAAACCAAAAATGTTGCAAGTTGTTTACAGAGGCCTTGTGCAAGAGAGACAGACAGGAATCAGGCAGGAATTTTTGGTGGGCTGACAAACACACGCATATTGGTCATGCTGGTCCACACCAGGACAGGTGGGTTATGCCGTCTGAGAAAAAAAGGTTTTGAGAGACTTGAAGTCCTCCATACCCCTTCATAATCCCAGAGCAAGCAGAATACAGAAGAGTAGAAAATGCAGAAGTCGAAGCAGCAGAACATAGATGATACTGTTCTGGTGTCTGATGAGGCTGGATCATCCTGCTGAGAGGCTGGAAGCATGTTTCTCAAAAAGTAACTTTTAGCGAAGGAGCGAAAGTAGGGAGGCCAACATTTTCAGAGGAGATACTTCAATGGCTGTGTCAGTCTTTTTTTTTATATTGGCTTTGTTACTCATTTGCATAAATATCAGAATTCATCTGAATTTCAGAAAAAGAGAGATCGCTTTGGAGAAAGTTTGGCAATTTCACATTCAGGTAAGTATGTGAAACAAAAACATTTTTCAGCTAGGTCCTGGTCCAGTGAAGCTCTTAAGCACACATACAAATTGAACTTCATTCTTGTATTTGATCATTAATGTTATACTTCCTTATTTGCTCAGAATCTCCAGAAAACAAATTTACATATTCAGTGGAACTAAGTCCGAGTCCTACCACCTGCACCACTTTCAGACGTATTTTCATAGGTTGTAAATCCAAGGTACAGTTAAACATTAACTTCATGCCAGAATACATTTTGCATACCATAAATAACAAATAGCACCTTTTTTTTTTATTTTCAAGGTCAAGAAGTTTTCTTAACATAGATAATCATAACTCCAAGAATCATTACTTACCTGGGTTAAAGTAAAAAATTATATTTAGTAAATCCTGGTCTCCCCATGTAATGTAATTTTTGTACTTTTGGTATAACGGATATAACATTTCCTCCCAAGTCAAACCACTGGGTATCATGCTGTTCTGCAGGGCAGAAAAACAAAAGTGATGGGTTAATACCGTGAACAGTGATGAGAGCGTGGTGCCTGCATATTTGTATGTCTGCTAAGCCATGTCTAATGTAACCTACATGAAAAATGAAGAACTGCCAGGAAAAATTAGACCTGCATAGGGTTGGAGCAGCAGAGCTGACTGTGCTCTTGTTTATCTGAACAGGAAAGCAAGGTCTCCTGGGTCTAGCTGTGATGTCAGCTCCTGCTATTCACAATCTTCCTATTCTGAGCAACAGGAGAGAGAAAAAGTGAAAAAGTAGAAAAGTAGAGTGACAAGGTGAAAACTGAGGTATAAAAGTGCGGAAAAATGCAGGGTTAAAATGATCTTCCTGGGGAATTATGCTGTTAAGAGCAAGGGCTTTTTTTTTACTCAAGCTGTTCCTGGAACAGTATAGGAAACTCCTGGCCTTGACCGAGGAGCAAGACTACTTGGGGTAAATAAAGTTTTGAAAGAGGTTGGAGAATACGTGCTCAACAAAACAAATGGAGATTTTACAAGTCAGGCCTTTCACAAAAGAGGAGAGATGTCAGATGTCAGAGAAAGTGTTCCTGTCTCATTTATATCAATCCATGGAGTCACTTGATCTGCAGTGGGATACAAAATTCTATTTACAGCAGATGCAAAAAATTACTAAGTTCTCTAGATATTTACATCAAGCTTCCCAATTTTAAAAACAATACAGTGACTGCACTGAAGGTCCTTAAGTTTATTCTTTCATGTACCTTTCAAGAGAAAATGAAATGTTGAAGAAGCCTTTTTTACTACTGCTAACAGGCTGCTTCCTCTGCAAGTTCTCAGTGCTCCCGCCTCATAAGGAAGTTTCACATGTTTTAAGAATAATTTTCACTGTAATTGCTTTTCATACCCATATATATTCTATATTGTTCAGATTCTTTATATTACAAACGTTATATAATTTTACACTACGTTTTACCAGAGGTGAAAAGTACATAAATCATTGCAACAGCTGTGTTTCTTCTCACCTTGAACTGAGTGTTGCGTATCCGTGTTAAATTCATTAGCATCACTCCAGAATTGACGCCAGTTGTCCCATAATAAGGGTGACGCGCAAATCGACTATACCAGCCAATCTTTGGTATTTCGTGTTCTGGGGCCATAGCAGCTAGCTGTGTTGAGTTGAACTCTTTCAGGATGTGCCAGATGTCATCGATGGGCCTCAGGAAGAGAACATCAGTGTCCACATAAAGGAGAGAATCCACATCCTTTAAAATGACCTTTTGGGTTTGCACAGCGAGGGGAGGAGGAGTTGAAAAAGAAAACAAGTAGACAACAAAAAGGAAGGTTATTGGCAAAAGGTACTTTTATTTTAAACCAATAATTTGAAAGAGGTTATTGATTTATCAGCTAAATGTAATTATACGCAGGAACAACAGTTATCAGGTTATTGGCTTGTTGTTTGGTTTTTTTTTTTTTTTTTTTTTTGAACTGCACAGCAAAACAGCTACCAGACCACAGAAGCTGGATTCTAACCTTCATATGAAACAGTAATCCATTGAGCTCTCAAAAATACCTGCATGGACTATTTAGTATCAGTTCAGAAATAAAATGCTAAGAATATATATTTACATAGCTTTGTTAGTTCTTTTCAAGATCTGTAAGTCATGAAACATATAGCTTCCTTCATAGGCAGAAAGGGTAAGGTAGTATAACAGGATACTTTTCATCTCCATCTGGTATCATGTTTCCTTATGCCTTTCTAATGACTGTTTCTCCTATTATAACCTTGTGCTCCTAGGAGACTTACATTCAGTGTTAATATATACAAATGTTTCACATTAATTAATAAAACCCTATGGATCACAAAAACGTGTATACATCCTCCTGAAGAACAAAATTTGCTTGATAAATAGAAATGTCACACTAAAACTTATCAGGTCAGATTCTGATCTCTGTTCTCAGACTCTGTATCAGGAATAACCACAGTAAAGTCAGTCAAGTCAGAAAGGTGTAAACTGTAAATTAGATCCAGGATATTTAATCTATTCTTGTTGACAATGTTCCCCCTTGTGGCTATCCAAATCCTTACATGCTCATTCATTAATTTTAGTAGGGCAAATTATATAGTGCTTCAACAGTCCAAGAAGACTCCCTTGATGTTTGCACCAGTTATTTGTAAGGTTGTTTCCTAAGTAATAAATATCATTAGCTAAAGTTGACCTTCAGTTCCAACTGCACTTTTGTTGCTCTTCTTCAATATATGCTAAAACTGTCAAAAAATTCCTGAAGGACTGAAATTTTCTTACTTTGGTCCTAGCCAAAAGCCCAATTTCTCTCTCTCTCTTTCTTTCTTTGAAAAGCGGATCCAAAAAGGTATTGCTTTTCACCATGTTGTGGAACGGAACAATCACTCTCTCATACAACTGCAATGATACTAATGACAAATGCTCCTATTTATGCAGGTAACTTAATAAATTCTACTACGGAAATTGAATTTTACATAAATAGAAAAGTATTGTGAATGAAGATTACCTGTGAAATAGAGTGAACATTATTAAGATTTTGAACAAGTAGGGGGGAATAATTACCTTTAAGCACACTCAACAGGCATTCACTAAGATGCCAAATCCATGAGGACGGACTTAAATTTCACCTGATTGAACACTTCAGGATTCAGACCGACATTTAGCCAAGTTTAACAAAATCCCTGACCTGTATTTCTGACACGATAACTACATGTTCTTCGTACATGGCAGGACAAGCAGGAGAACGCAAGTGTCTCTATATTTTAAACAAAAAGCTATGCTTACAAGAAACTCCAGCTAACCAAGTCCCACACAATCCAGACAGCTCTGCTGGATGGAAGGTTATAGCAATATACCATTTTTCCACAAAAAAATACAAAACAGCATGTGGAGGTACCAATGAATGAGGGACACAAATAGTTCAATAACACACTAAGAGCTCAGAGGTAAATACTTGCAAACATTAAGTGTCCTGGAGTCCAATACTAAAAAAAACAAGTAAAAAAAGAAAGCTACTCTAAGAGTAAATCAATAGAAGACAGACAGTTGAAAAGAAAGGGTTTTTCAGCTTAAGGATTTCCTGCATATTTTATATTATTCTGCAGCACCTAGAAGCCCTGATTCATAGGGACCTACTATATGAAGTAATATAAAATCAAAACATATTTAAAAAAATCATGCCAAAATTCAGTCTGAGACAGGAGATAACACATGAATACAGAGAGAGCAGAAGCTATCAGATTTTGCCTGAGGGATCCACAGCACGCTGTATCCCATGTAAGATTTTTTCTAAGGGTGCCCTGGTAGAGGGACCAGATGTTTTCCAGCAGAGGGTTAAGGAGGAAGTTTAACAGGTGCATATAGACACTCCTCCCAAGCTTAAGTGACCAGCAGAGAACTGTTCTTTCGGCAACCTTAAATATACACATAGATGTATGTTTGTGGATGTCAATGGACTGTAATAATTCTCCTATATATAAATGGATTCTAGCAGTTATTTCAGTCCTTTGTGAAGTGGGTGCCTACCAGCATTTGACCCCACACTTTCCGCCTCGTATTCCTCCACTCAGGATTCACGTGCTCTCCTTTCTGGCTTGTCAAAAGATTCTTCGCTCTCCTGTGACCGAGGTGTTGCCCTGCAGCGACACCCAACAGGCTAAAAGCTGTGCAACTTCCCTTAAGCCCTTCACACTTTTCTTTTTCACGTGTGAAGTGTTAAGGCTTATTTAAAACCTACACGTCAGTTCAAATTGATCACATCCCCTTCTCGCTTTGCATTTAATTTCGCCTCGGATAGAGGAATTTAATTTCAGAAATTGCGGCCGTAAGAGTTCCTTGCATAGCTCCTGGGATTTCAGTGGAGTTACGCTGGGGATAAACTTCATTTAAGTAACTCCCGTATTCCCAACTTCCCATAGCTTTTGGGTAGCTCTGATCCCAAACACTGTTCCCAAACTAAAGAAAAGTTTTCAAAAAACATATTTTAGGCTTTACACAGCCCTTAAAACATTTTTTAGCTTTTACTTATTCAAAAGCATGTAAGAGGAGATGATGTATTTTTGACTGTTGATTTTCAACATCAAAAGCAGTTGAGTACCACAAGGCAAGCCTGTGGTACAAGAGACCTCGTTCCACCTTGCTCTGCCTGAACCAGATGCTGCATAGCCAGGGCTGGCAGCTCACTGAGCCTGTCGGGAGGGCTACCCAGAAGGACATGACTGCAGGTTAAAAATGATATGCATCTAACCTGGAGCATAAGCAATGCAAGACTGCAACTGGTCTATTCAGCACAAACCCTGCAGCCATACCCAACAGACTGTGATTTTTGAAATGAATGGTTAGGAACATGGCTTGATTGTGCTTGTCATCTTCCTCGCTCTACAGGCACTTACAGCTTAAAAGAAGTGTGATTTTTTTATACAGAAGCTATATAGAGTATTCCTAGTAAAACTGTCAAAAAGTTCTGCACAGAACTGGCTATATTTAGCCTGATGCTTCACTTAAATACTCAATTATCTGTAATTTGATTTCACAGCTTCTGTCTCCATAGATTCTCCCTGTGTTAGCAAGGTTGGCAAGTAATAACACACTACTGTGTAAACACATATTGGTGTGTTTTGAAGCTGTGCTACCTAATGTTTGCAATGGCTAGCATGGCAGTTTATCAGAGCTTTATCCAAAATTAGAGACAAATCACAAATCTTGATTCTAACGTAGCCGTACCACGAAGCTGAGTTACTAAATTTAATTGTAGTAAGCAATTAACCCAAGTTACAACAGAGACAGAGACTTTTGTCTAGATAAGGTCCCAGCATCTATTTCCAGTGCTGCCACTGATCCACCGGGTTGGATACTCCAGCATACTCAAGAGGACACCTATAATACAGGGATATTGCTCTATCTGATAATTGATAATCTACCTTAAAAGCTCTTAAGCACATTAAGTGTTTTGAGAAGGGTTCTAAACGTTAGTTACTATTACAACTAAAATCATCCAAAAATCCCTTAAGCATTTCATGATACTTCAGCTGGTTGTTTTGGCAGAGACAGCTGCAAGCCAGCTCTCTGGTATGCAACATTCGTGAGATCAGAAGACAGTTTTTCACCTGGTGTGTTAACATCCATGTTAGCATTGCAAGAGTTTCAAGTGATTGCTGAGAGCATTAGCCTCCTAGTTTATTTTTAAAGTTTCATTTTGTGCTCATGTTAAGATCCACATCTTCCTTAATCTGTCTTTGCAAATCCCATTGATGGTGTTACTGTAGTAGACTGCAGCAAGAGATTTAGAATTGTGAGATTACATGGAGGCTCAGTCTACTTTCCCTGCACGTAAGTAGCAAACATGATCAGGTGTCAGATAATGCCTCTGTAAAATGTAGGAAGCCGTATGATCTTCCTTAATATTTTAGTAACCCAAGATTCAATGTGTACGTCAGCCTGTTACCCAGGACAAAACAGTTCATTACTACAAACTGCAGGATCGCATCCCATAGCTCTAGTGTTATCAGTGAGTAAAACCATTTGAAGATTCTTACACAATTTTCCCTTAACACATTCCTCATACCCTCCTGTCCACTTTCACATGGCTGCTGGTGCTGCAGGAGAGAGATTTCTTTGGCAGGAGAGGCACTTGTGAATCAAAGACTCGCATTCCACTCCGGTTTAGCGTTATCAGGAGCAAGGCAATTTGCACGACTGAGAGCTAAACAGCTGATAAACTCAACCACTGCTCTCCTAGGGTCCTCCCTAAATCTAGTCACATTTTATGCCACTGCAGGGGAAAATGCTTAGGACAGGAAAGGATAAGAAAAAGAGGATACTGAGATGCTTCTAGTATTTATTTAAAATACAAGTCAAAATATTTCTCTAAACAATAACACTAGAAACCCTCCACTCCCACTGTGTGCAGACTGCGTTTCTACAGCATTGTCTCATGCAAAGGGGATATCAGAACCTCGTTATCAAGTACTCCAAAAAAAATGCTGTCAATGAAATTACCCCGAAACAGCCCAAGGTTCTGTCAGCCTGCAAACTTGGGTACCAAAAGTCCAACTGGACACTTGCCACCTCAGCCATTACTACAACTTGTTTTCTTTCTATATCCATATCAACTCAGTGTCAGCTACAACTACTCTCAGACAACCCCTCATATTCAAAGCCATAAACCTCAGCCTGACCACACACAACATTTTGCAATTGCCCCAAGAGAAACAAACATTTACAGTTCAGGCTGCCTCCTGGTTTTGCTAAGACAACATGCAACAAGTCAAATATTCCTTACAAGAAGCTACTGGAGAACTTTGGCAACATGTGAGTGACAAAAAAAGGAACCAAAAAAGCACTGCTCAGCCTAAAGGAATCAGCATGAATACGTAACTCTCTTCTGTCATCAGAAGAGTGATGACAAATAAAAGTGAAACCGTTTCTGTGATGAGAGTCTACCAAAATGACAAAAAATACCACAGAAATTGGAAGAACAGAGATTGTGTTTTCCCAGTGAAAACAACCCCATTTGAGTACATCCTTACAAACAATCTGTATGAACACGCTAACGCTCAGGGATTATTTTCCAGGTGATATAAATATTTACTCAGGGAAGAGAGGATCTCTGCTGAAGTTGGAGTTACTTTCAGCCCATCTGGCCTTTGTGCATTTGATAGTCTGCCCCTAAATGGCAGATAAACAGAACTGCTGACAGCACATATTTTCTCACATATGTATTCATAGTCTACGTATCTGGACATGCAGCTGTCTCCTGATTGTTTCCATCTGAGAGAGTAAAGATTTCTTTGCCCCGCCCCATTTCTCATAAGACAGCAATGAAGAAATCTGGATCATGTGAATAGCATGTCACTTTATTGGAGTCACCCTAATCAACAGCAATGCACAAGGTATTTTTGATAGATGTTCTCAATTCCACAGAAATCGCTGTATGCAAAAGTTCTTTAGATTTCTGATATTTCTGCATTTGCAAAATTGTTATCAACACCTTCTTTCTCTCCAGCAACCTTAAATATCTTCCAAGTTTATGACACTAAGTATTATACAGTAAAGAATACAAATTTTCGGTGAAGATCCCAGGATACACAGGGCTTCTTCATGAAACCTGTCTTTGAGCACACTGGAATTATTACCTTAAGGGCAAATCTGACAGTCTTGGAAAAAGAAATAAAACTCTAGGAAAAGGGATTGCTGAAACCATCAGTCAAAGGGCTAACATATGGAAAGGGAGATAGTGGGTAAAAAGTATATGATGACTGCACGCTGAAAAGAATGTTACTTATGGAAGGCATGTAGCATCTACCCTGAAAGGATCTGCCCTGAAAGAGCTCCCGCACTGAGTCTTAAGAGTCTGAGAGGCTAATGGAACTAGAGACAAATAAGAAACACACATTCTTTGTTAGCAGGAGAAACAGTGAGGCTGGATTTCTGGGTGGGTTTTGTTTTTTTTTTTTAAGTGGCTAAAGCACAGATTAAAATATCCTTAAGCAGATGTTTCAAGCTGAAAATGGTTTTAATGTTACACCAGCAAAGCTTCCTTTCTGTGGAATTAACCTTTTCCTGAAGCGACCGACTCAGAAATCCAGGTGCCTTACCGGAAGAAAAAGGCGCTGGGCAGCACATGGTTTGAATAACTTTTTCCATTCCTGAGCATTTCCTACTGAGAAGGTTATTGGGTAAATGTTGTATTCAAACTTCTTTGTATATGAGGAAGGCCATTCCTTTAGCTGAAAGACATGGGGGGAGGAATTAGACACTACACGTTATGTAGCTTTTTTGAAAAAAATATGCATGCATAAGGAATTTATAAACCGCGTGCAGTAAAAAAGGGCTTAGTTGCTACTTGTTGATTTCAATGTAACTTTGCTCAGAGATTTGCGGGTTATAACTAACTCATTTATTTCTTTACCAAATGACAAAGAAACTCACCTTCTTCTCAAATTCAGGCTTAAGGGAATCCTCAGCAAAAATGTGAAAACAGAGCCTCCTGTTGCTAAAGAGAACTGCTGATTTCAGCATGATTAGCGTCTCTTCCAGCCGGTCCCCACATGCCACAACGGCCAGATGCATGCATTGCAAAGATGAAGGCTCTTTGGAATGTTTCTGTTCTCCAGGCTTCCTGAAAAATTATAAACAGGGCATATAAAAAATACTGAGGGAAACATGAAGAGAATTCCACGTTAATAGATATCAATATTTTTCTCTTCCCCTTCATTATGTAGGGGTTTTTTTCTGATTAGCTATCCACAGAAGATGCAAGTGGCATGCCCCTTTTGTCAACGGTACAAGTCAAGACTTAAAATTTCAACACAAAGAAATACACTATTTTCAGAATTTTTCTGGTTATTCCTACATTTCTGGATTTGCATAAATGATTGTACTACATACACACATGAACCTAATTCAATAGCACATCAAACCAGACAACAACTTGTTCTGTGCAAATGATAGCTTTTTTTTTTCCAGTTTCAAGGTTATGAAGCCAGAATGGACTTATTACTACCCAGCCAACCTTCTAACACAATGCAAATTACAGAACTACACCCAGTAATTTCATTATCAGGCCCATAACTTCTGGCTAGACTGGAAGAAGACATCCATACTTTACAAAACTCCACTCCAGACATATGTAAATTACTCTAACAGTTAGTTAATTTTGCTGTTAAAAATGCATGCCTTAATCCCAGCCTGAAGATACCGGCATAGTTTCAAAGGACTGCTCTCCATTTCACCCGATGGAATCTCCAAGATTTTGCTAAAACAGAGATTTTAAAAAACAAACATATTCACTTGTCCCAGATGAATCAGACCATATTCCACAAGCAGTCAAGGGCCAAACTATGGATTTTTCACTTAGCACTCATCCGTGTGGGCTTTAAATAAATTTTAGCCACACTACAGGGGAACCTGCATGTAAAAGGCACATTGAAGCCACTGGCTAGACAGAAAAATCAGGGTTCTTTTGGGGAGTTGAAGAAGTTTTGAAAATACAGCCTTTTAGTTTTGTGTGTCCCCCACCCCCAGCGCATCAGCATGGAGGTAAAATCACATCCTCCAGGAATGCTTCTACCGCATTGTATTCACATTCCAACATGGATCACATTTATACTCCAGTAGACGGATGTCTGCTGACAAAGCAACTAAATCAGAAGCATCGTAATGATTATAGGAGAGTTCAAAAGGCTGATCATCGATCACTACCAGTTCTTGACATATCACTGAACAGAGGACATCAATCCCTGCCTCTTCTCAGCATACACAATTACATACATATAATTAATCAGTAAAGCTAACACTAGAAACAAAAGTTCTAAATAAAGAGAAAAATGACAGTTAATAAAGCTGTCATTATCTCCAGACATTAAAGTGCTGCTCTGTATAAGAGCAGCATTCTATACTACAGAGTAATCCACTTCTGTGTTAAGGAATACCAGCCAATGGTACTTTACTGCCTATACAAAGCAACATGTTTCATCAAAGGTTTAAAGTCTTAGGCTTTAGTCTTAATTAAACCCCAATTTCATCAGTGCATAAATAATGGAATACTACATCTATGTGAAGTGGTATTTACTTTCCAACCTATTAGTGTAAAAACCACTGAATTATTGAAGTGAATAATTAGCTGCTCACACAGATCCCCTTTTCCCCCCTTCTCCCTATCTCTTTAATGTTTCCTCTTAATTGAGTCTCTAAATCAAGCCATATGCAGGATGAGAACTGCTTTGATATAGCTTGTGGCAACGGAATTCACTAGGAGAGAGACAAAACTCTAAGCTTTTATTGCAACATTTCAAAACACCAAAGCTCTAAGATTTTCTTTGCAAATTTTAGCCACAGTGAACTCTCCATTATGCAGCTATTTTGTAGTGAAAAATCCAGTATATGCAGGCCAGTACATCCAACAAACAGACTCGGCAGAAGCAACTCTCGATGAAAGCAGAATGCCCCGTAAACCCATGGGAGCTACAATGAACAAGAGACATCCTGCCTGCCAACACAGACACCCTCCCAGTCCCAGAGAGTGGAGGAGAAAGCTGAGCCTTTGAGAAGAGCAATGATGAGTCCCGAAGGCCCTGGCTGAAGAGGTTCAGGAGCCTGTGAATGGCCTAAGTCAAATAAAAATGCTCAAGAAAAGGAGCGCGAGGTGGTATTTGAACTACCTCAGTAGTCGTGTGGGACACTCACGGCAACAGTTAGTGAGGAAAGTAGCAACGAGGTACAGAAGAACGTTGAGACACAACATTTTTCATCTTTTTTGTAAGCGTATAAGGAAACCAAGAGGACTGTGAAAACAAAGGTGAGCTGGAAAGGAAGATTGGAAGAGTGCCATAGCAGGATGCACTTCACAACAATTTTAGCTTAGCCTTTACAAAACTACTCTTACTATCCAGAAGTCTGAAAAGAGACAAGGTACACAGGCAAAATCAAACTGCTAGGAAGACAAACAAGCAGATTACAGCAAGGAACATCACAAGTCCCCTTCTCTCTTCTGTTTATACATGCACGTACATACAATGCAGGGAGGAAGGGAAGGGAGGGGGAGAAATAACATCTGGATGAAAGGATATTCCTTTAACATCTGCAGGACACGGCCAATGTCTTCAAACAAAAACAGTTCCAGTTTGACCAACGACATCTAGGATATTTCTGCCTTACACAGAATAAATGGCTATGCTGACTTATCTGGATCCTCTCTTGAAGGTAAGAGGGCCTCCACCACGTGTTGTCAAGAGAGAAACTGGAGGTTAGAACTTAGCTCATACTGGTGGAGCAGGTACTTCTTTTCTACCAGGGGTAGGTCAGGCTGGGCACCAGGAGCCTTCTCGTTCAAACAGACTTACTGCTTCTTTAAGCGGAGGTTTCATTTAAGGTACACACTGAATCCTGATTCAATGCAGTATATCTCCTCTAACTGCAAATGTTTGTTTATCATGTAGTGACCGGTGGTTGATGCAGACATACTGGGAAGCTAAGAGTTTTCTGAAACACTACCTGCTCAGATGTTACTAGACAATACAACAAATGGAACAGATGAAAGATGCGTACTTTGTTTTCAAGGACAGAGTACGTTAATACTGTGGTAAATTGTACAAAGGATAAAATTTGTTACATAGAATGAAAAACAGCTGGCAAGCAAGAAAGAATACATTGCTAGGTTATCAACCTAAGACATTAATAGGCTTTTGACACACAGAAGTACTCGGGTAGTGGTTGAAGGATAAGCGAGCTCCATTTTTGGCTCTATTTCAGTAAGTCAGCCCCTACAAAGCTTTGGATGAGTCATTAATTCTTTATGCTTTAGTTGTCCTACCTGTAAAATGGGAACAGCTGTTACAGTAGTAATAGTTACCTACCTCAGGAGACTTCCAAGCACATTAAAAAGCATATAGATCCACAGAGTACTACAATTATTCTTATTAGCCAATTCTTCCTAACATTTATAAGTGCGTTCAATCACTTATAGTCCAACTTATTGGTTATAGATGGAGTCTATAATTGGATTTTATAACCTAAATTAAATGTTTAAATGCACCTAAAACAATACAGTGACCTAGGTCTTAAAGTTTAATGTGTTCGACAAGAACAAATAAAGAAACTACATACACATGGTCTTTGTTGCCTTGATATCCTTCTTCTAATTCCAGTACATAAATGTAGCGTTCTGATAGATTATAAATCTAACTTATATAAGACATCAAACTTTGTTTTGTTCCCCGTTTTACCCATCTGTTCAGAGAAAATGGCTTCCTGCCCTCCCTTACTTGCTGTTCTCTTATCATTATATGGCTTTAAGATTAAGCGCCATTGCCTAAGATTAAGCACTACACAAAGCATCACAAAATACTTGCAGAATACACCCCTGTGAAACAGCTGAAGACAGACTTGATAAGATGTAGCACGATAAAATGTGTATAGCAAAGACCTTCCAACCATACAGACCAACTCCCATCCAGTTGCCCGATGGTATTTTATTTACTGCATACATTTTCTTCCTGACAGGCATGGGTATTGACATAGCAGAAGCAGCCCGAGTGCTCAAGTACAATACTGTACATTTCTAGGTCTTAAAGTTTAGATTACATGCAATTTTCTTATTAGTCACAGCCAAAGTGTCTCAAACGTAATTAGCCCAAAACCTGTCTAAATCAATCCAGATCCATTCAAAATAATGCATTCCCATCTCATTACAGAGCGTGCTAATCTATTCAAGCTTTCAAATTTATTCCTGAGAGAAAGATAATGCATGCAGATTCTTACAAAATGCAATACAGTTGTTAGTTTTTGAAACCTTCTTCATATTATGATCTCATTTACTTCTGCAGCACAAACAAGGTTAGATTTAGGCATTGTATCAAAACTGGTGATTCACTAAATAGGCTTGTTTCCTGACAGTCAACACTGAGTCAATGTCCCAACAGTGGCTCCACTACATGAAACACATTCTCTCACACACTTGAAAATGTAAAATAGAAAGGTCCAAATGTTTTAAAATAAAGTTTTCTCACTTTCACACAGTTGCACAAAACTGACTGTAGCTGCTGACAATCAAAAAGTTATTGAAGTTTCAACCTCCTTCTACCACTCAGAGAAAGGGGAGGAAACCACTCAAAACCAGAATGGATGTTTAGATCTTCTTCTTTTATCAAGTGTGTTAGACAAGTATGAGGTATTTGGGCCTTCAGCATGTTACTCAAACTCAAGCCAAACTTGCATGTGTGTGCACACAGGCTGCAAAGAAAGATAAAGTATCTTCACAGGTTGCCATGCTATAAATGTTTTGCTTTGGAAAAGTTAGTCCAGGGAACACTAAGTGCTGGCAAAGGTTCACTTACCAAGCCTCGCCATGCTGATCTAATAGAAGATGTGGTCACATCTGCCCTTCAAATGTAAAATAACCCTTTTGCTTTTTGATACTTTGCACACATTGGTTTGGCACATACTTATAATTCTTCATATGAAAAAAATCACACTGAAGGCATAGGACTTGCTACTTCCAAGAGGAAGGACCAGTAAAACCACCATCAAAAATCAGTTTTCATAGCTAACCAGAAACTTAAATGCAATGCTCATCTGG